AAAGAGAGGTCGAAAAATAGGAAAACAACTAACTTCACTTTCTAGAAATAAAAAGGTAGGACTGACTTTAGGTTCAAAGAGAGTACAAGCAGACAAATGTACTGAAAATGTCACATCAAACGAAAAAATAAATCATAAGCCATATTGACGATAATAAATCTAATACGTAATCCGCATTGGCGTACTAACGTAAAAAAAAGTAAATAAATACACTTGCCACACGAATATTTAAAATAGTGCGCCCTAAAAATCAGTTATGGAACGTAGTGAATACGTGCACTACAAAGTTTAACCGGATTCGGGCATTAGTGGCCTAGCTCGGTTAGAGTTCGGAAATACGAGGGCTGGTACGAGTCTTACAAACTAACAAACGAGCGACTCGTATTACGAACAACAAACATAGCTCGAGACCCGAACGTTAAGATTTCCGGAGAGCCTGGGTGGGTATGCCGTGCGCGCAACAACGGAGACCATGAGCCCGAAACGGCGCTCTGCCTCTTCGTGCGCGGTCAAAATTCGGTCGCCGATTCGGCGGTACTCGACCCGATTAGTAGACGTAACTCAACGTGAATCGACTAAATGTACGGTGTCTAATGCGCGACCGGTCGCGGCTACTCTGAATCGAGTCAGTACTCAGACTCATTTTGTTTTTTGTTTTTAACCTTTAGTTTTAAGAAACAATGCCGTATAGCAGTAGCTGCTAAAGCTAAATGTGCGGTGCACGTAACAGGAGCTACAATATGCGGAATCGCGGAAAGAACTAGAAGAGCGTAAGAAAACTGAAGAAAAATAAAGTAGAGTGCGGTCGATTTCGGTGTTTAAACAAAACGGTCGATATTGTTCGAACACCGTACAACGATGCAAAATGTACTGTGTGTGTCGTCCATCGGCGTACGTACAAAAAAATGGGTCAGAAATTACAACTAGAAAAATAAAAAAAAAACGGTCCACTTTGATGTACCAAAGTATAATAACAATCCTAAAAAAAAGCGTACATTTTCATAAGTTGTCTAGAATAATTCGGATGTTACCAAATATATCATAAAAAATTCGGTCATAATACTCAAATTTGAAAAAAAAAATGGTAGAAAATAAACATGTTTGGATAAAATTTAGAAATAAATTGATTTTGAAAAAGAACATATTTATGTTGCTTATTACTGGTTTCAATTCACACTTTATAATGTGTGTATGTACAACAAATTTTATTGCGTTTCACATATAGTGCAATTATCGTTATTTGGAAAGCTGTTCATTACCAATATACTAATTTTAATGTATAATATGAGTACCAGCAGCATATTTCCGGAATATTAGAACCTTATTCAAAACAAACCAAAATCGCAATAAATAATTTTATAAATGATTTCATAAATAATAATCGCATACATAATCAAGGCCGGATTAAGGGGGGAGGTTTAGCCGGGATTGTAGCCCCGGGGCCCTCTCGAGTACCCAATTGAGAGGGGCCCAAACAATTTTAAACCGATACACATTTTTTATCATACTAAAATTATTAGTTTATAGACATAATGTATATACTTATTAATTTTAAAATTTTATAATGCAATTGACAATTTGTGAAATAGTTAAAAAAATCTGCAAGCGTAGCGAGCAGCTTTGTAAAGCATGTCTTGTCAAAAAGGCCCATATAAAATTTCAGCCCCGGGCCCAATAGATGCTTAAAACCAGCCCTGTACAAATAATATAAATTTTAATACTCGTCCAATATGCTATCTACCATAATTTGATGATAGTTTAGTATGATATATAGTATGCTATTATATATACTTTATTATTTTGCAATTAAGATAATTAAGCTTTTACAAAACCCCAAATTGTTTTCTATTTTAACTTTAGTAGGTTAGGTAAGTTAGTAGGGTTTGGCTTTATATTATACCTGTTAAGTGTGTGTGACTCGTATCGATTATATGTGTTTTTGCTGTGATTTATTTATTATTATATTTATGAGTTTTTCAACTATGAGTTATTTATATCGACATATAATTCAAAATGAAGAGATATGCGAAAATTGTTTAAGCGTATTCGGTTTATTACCTATCGACCAAACATGTACAAAAATTAAAAACTAAACAACTTGTGGTGGTGAGTTAAAAAAAGTTCTGAAAAGAATCATTAACACGATTAACACGGTAGTTAAAATATTTACGGTAGATAGCATACTAAACCATCATACGTGCGGTAGACAGCATATTGGACGAGTACCTACATTTTTACCTATATCCAAAAAAAATATTTATTAGATTGTGTTATGTAATTTTATTTATTTACTAATAAGTAATGTGTATTAAAATAGAGTAAAGTATAAGTAAAATATATAGTGAAATAAAATTCATCAATAATTAAAATTTTTGTTTTTTCCCCGCTAAGTCTAAAACAAGGATGGGCAACTCAAAGTAACTAGAGGGCCAATTTTTAGAACTTTAAAATCTGGTGGGCCATAGTAAAAAAAGCAGAAATGAAAAAAAGGTTACAAAAATTGAAAATTAGAATTTATTTTAATTATTTTAATTTTACAACTGAAACAATATATTAAAAGTGCCTAATACCATTGATTATAAATACTATTATTTATTTATATTATTTATAATTAATGATAATACTTATAGCTAAGTTAGCCAAGCCGATATAGATATATATTATATTTAGATATCTAATGATTTAGCTGGAATTCAATACTATAAAAAAATATAAAATTTACATTTTACTATTAACGTTATAAAATTAAATACTGATAAATGTTAAAATGTTAGAAGTGATTTAAAAATGTAGCACGGGCCGGATAAAAAAATTACGCTAGCCAGATGCGGTCTGAGCGCCAGTTGCTCATCCCTGATCTATAAAATTCATTCGATTATAAGAATAGCTTTGTACTGGTATCAAAATCTTAAAGTGGTTTCCACTATATTTAATCATATGGTATACTGCATACCATATTAAGGATGCTAATTTTAAAATTTTGTAATGTAGGACAATTATGTCACATCTAGTTTATACTAAACCAATGGCATGACCAAGATTTTGGAATGGGAAAAGGGGTTAAAGCCAAAAAAAAAATAGATAATTTAAAATTAAAAAAAAAATTAAAATACCATCACTATGGCAATTTATACTGGTTACAAATATAAAAAAATATGGCCAATAGGGGGCTTGTTCCTTCATAGCTACGCCACTACAGAGTTGAATAAACATTACTGCAGCCAATATAATATAATATAATATAATGATAACTAGTAAAAGCATCTAATATATTTTATTTATATCACTTTTATTACATTAGTTTATTGATACTTTTAACTTCAACGTACAGTACATTATGTAAATAATTAAAAAATATTAATGTAAGTATAATATTGATATATAAATAGGTATTTTTGTAAAATGCAGTATTGTCCTTCAAAAAGTTTAAAGCATTGTTGGACGTAGTATGGTCCTGCTCAATGTAGGATGGTTGGCAACCTTATACCATATAACCCTCCTCTCTTTAAAAATGTACAATACCCCCGGGAAAGGTCTGAAGTATATCACTGATTGAACCAATTACGTAATATTTAAAAAAGAGCTGATTTTACTGTTTTAGAGTTTAGAATCAGGTGAGTCCAACCCCTTTAATTAATTTATCAACAATTTAATATGATTACTATAAATGTATTTATTCATAATTTAATCTTTAATGGAATAAAAGATCCATGGTACTGCTTCAAGTCTGCTTGGCAAGATACAAAGGGAAAAAACATTAATATTTCAATATGGTGATAAAGTATAAAGTGAAAATTAGTTGGCTAGTGTACAAATATTAGACGATAATGAATAACATAGGTACAATATATACTTGTATATACTCGTATATATAGCTCTGGTGAAAAGTAAGTAAAGAAATTTTGATTTTACTCACAAACAATAATTTCTGATGAATATGAATAAAGAGAAAGAATAGGTTGGATCGAGACCGTACTAACATAATAATATTATCTTGGATAATTAATACTAGAGCGGGAGAGCACGTCACATAAATACCAATTATTATATTAAATTATGTCAAACATTATTATATCAACTTGTAAATTGCAATGTATTATCTGGTGGTCATCATGATAAAAATAAGATTTTCTATGGAATTTTGTTGGCTTAAATCAGTGGTTTTTCGACCTTTTTCGGATCGCGACCCCCCCCCCCCCCCATTTTTAATTTTTATGTAATGTGACCCCTTTAAAATAAAATGTTGTTTTTTTCATCAAAATTTGATTTAATTACCGATATAATATTTACAATATAAATAATTTTGATTAATTAACACATAAAAATTTCACAAAATAAATAATTTATTTTGTTTTTTTTTAAATAATACCTACCTATAGAAAAACCATTTCAACTATTATTTTTGGCGACCCCCAGGTTGAAAACCACTGGCTTAAATGATTAAAACATTAAATGTTGAACTTTAAAAATAATTAGTAAGACTTCAAATCAACAAAAACATATTTGGGAAATTATTAAACTCAATTTTTGGATTGTTTTGTTTAAAGTCTTATTGGTTACACAATTATAATTAACTTATCTAAATTGCGACGAGTTAATATTATAATATCATATTCCTACTCTGCCAAAAATAGTTTTAACAAATTTTATATTTTTATTAATTCTGTGCTTACACTAAAGAGGTCAGTGAAATCGAAACGGCCATTTGTAGAACACTAATTTTAATACTGTTGCGCAAACACACGGGTGTATATTTTACGGACTATTGTGGGTATTATATTTTATTGTATTAATTAATATATTTGATATTGTTAAAAGAGTGTAGAGGAGACGGAAAAAATAATAATAAACTTTAAGGCTAAAAACTCCTGAGACAACATCGAGTAAAGAAAATTAATTTTAAAAATTGATTTCTTGTACAGTAATGTATAACACACTGGCAATAATTATATTTTCAAACGATTTTTAGAACCAGTTTAAACGACACGTGTGAGCGCTAAACATATAGAACAGCGTTAGTTTACAAATAGACGTTGCGATCGTAGTTCAGTGCGCTCGTTCGGATTGTGGAGCGTTTTTATTTATTTTTTTCTTTGAATAATATCTTAATTTAAACAATAATTTGATCAATGGTTTTGAAACTCACGCTTATATATTCTTTTATTTTTTTCCCTTTCAATGTTCATGGATACAGAAAACCAAGAGAAAGTGAGCATTAATATAAAATAATATAATAAACGATTTGTCGTGCAGATTTGATTCTTTTTACCCAAGTTATTAATTATAAGTTCTTTCATTGTGAGAGTAATAAAAATTAAGCAAATGTATTTCCCACTCAATAGTTACTCGTTTTTAATTGTATTGTAATCAGACCAGTAGTTTCTAAGTATGTATCTAAGTATCTAAGTATACTTCGAGCGTTGAAAATCAATAAAAATTCTAAAAGTTTGTAAGCAATGTCTAAAATTCTTTAATGTTATCATCTTAAGGATTTAAGATCATTATAATCATTTTTGATTTTGAATGAAAAGTTTTTAGGTGTACAATATAACAACATAATAGAGACTTTAACATTGCTGAGTGGATATTTTTAAAATCTTGATACTTGAAAACCGTACTTTAAACGGTTTCTTCAAATAAAACTAAAATTGTTATATACAATCATAAATAATATGATTGATTGCTCGAAGTTACTTCAAAACATACATACATTGTAAAATCAATTAAAAAAATTGTCGAGAAAAAACTTATTTTATATAAAAAATTTAATCATACCTATCTTACATGTCAAATTTGCCGTAAAATAATCTTATGTTAGCAATTATGTAAAAAATATTGTTTTTATTACATCCTTCAAAGAGTTTGCAGTTCAGCTTTTAAGAATTTTTTTTTTTTTTGGTTTTAACTTGGTTACCTATATCATGTAAAATTTTCTTTTTTGATTTATATAAATGCTGTTAATTATTATATAAGTCAGGGGCATATTTAAGGGGGGGGGGGTTCCGAAATGATAAACACCATTGTTAAAGATTGTTATTTTTAACATGGATTTGTCTTAATGCTGGGGGTTTCCGAAATTTTTTCGCAACACTTAGAATGTTGCTTATGCGATAATTTAAAATTTTATATTTATAAAATATGTTTATTCTTTTAAAAAAATATGTGGTGAATTTTGAGCGACTCTAATAAAAAATTTGTTTATTACAATATAGTTTTTATACTTTTAAAAAATAATAAATCATTAAAAAAATTGAGGTTCTGTGATGGTGTAAAGACAGTCGAGAAGTCTTATAGTGTTAAAATAATTTTTTCGTAATAGTGTGCTTCCTCCTTCCCTTCCACCCAAAAATCAAATACATAATCGGCCCCCTCCGAAATGAAAACCTCTATAAACCACTGATATAGGTATTATAGTTATGAATATTTTGTATTATAAAACATACATAAAAAATTTAATTGGAATTTAATTTCCATAATAAAGGTTATTATTATTATTTTCATAAATATCCGGTTTAGATAGACGTATAACGTATTATAACGCGTGCGTTCAACAGATATATTATGACAGTTTAATGGATTTTAAATTCTAGTACCTCGTATGGATAAATTTTAACGTATCAGAGATGGTTATTAACTGGATTTAACACTAAATGTAGAACGCATGATATTCAAAGGTTCGTTGATAACAATGTAAGTGTGCCTACACGGTACTTATACAATTTTACAACATCAACCATCATCGAGTATACGAATAGACATTTTGTAACCGTACAACAGAGGCGTATTTTAGGGGAGCGAAGGGGTGATCGCTCCCTGAATCCGTATTTAAGGAATCGATTATACGTGAGATACAAATTTAAAATTTTTTTTTAATGTGGATAATTTTATAATGAAATCAAATTACGCGTGGCTGCGAATACTGAATTGGGCTTTTTGCCGGGTCTATACTTAGTGAAAAATCAAATAAAACACATAACTTTCAAAACACAGACAGATGTTAAAAAAAGAACTAAGTTAATTCTAAGTGAATCCAGCATAGGATTAAAAAAAAAACCACAAATATTAAGGTTTCACCAGATTTAAATGTAACCAAACATTTTACTTGTAAATGTTGAGTCTGAATTAAAGAAAAAATTTGAGTCCCCCCCTAGAAGTAAGGCTAAATACGTCCCTGCCATACCATAGGCGCACGCAGATGTGTATTTATGAAGTTAAAATATGGGCTCCTTGATCTTAGAGTTTAAATTGTTGGGTCCCATTTACAACATTTCGTGTGATGCCCAGGCACACCCGACACCCTCGTGCGCATTCCTATGAACCGTACTACTCTATTTTATGTCGAATGTATACAGCTCATTTTCCGGGATATCATTTTTGCGGACCTGGGACGAACTTCTTGAAACGCACATCTCTCGGTCAACTCGGTGTCAACAAGCTAGACGAAGCGTGCCGGTTACACGACATGGTATACACCAACAGTGTGGACTTATATCTGAGAACGGAAGCGGACAAACAACTAGAGATGCAAGCGTGGGAGCGAGTGACCGCACCCGATAGTAGTTACAAGGAGAAATTCGCCGCATGGATGGTGACGAACATCATGAAGTTGAAACGAAAATGGAATACTCGGCGGCTGCGATCAGAACGTAAAAAAAATAGTAAGAAATCGTATTGATTTTCTCGAAAAAGTTGTTTTTTCCATTCTATCAATTTCTCTATAATTGGACGGATATAATATTTTTAATTTCGAACGCATTGCGATAGGTACCTATATATGTGTTATGATTGTGCTTTACGGGGGAACGGGGTTCAAGTAAAATGGAATTTTTTTCTATTTTTATTGTTACCTCAGACGTTCTTTGATTTTTGAGTCAGTTACAGTATATGTAAAATCATACGTATCTACATCAGTTAATAATACGTGTGTTTATCGCGATTCATCAACAACGAATATCGTAATGACCTACGCACACAGGCTAATCAGGATAAGTATGATTGTGTTTTTAAAATTTGACAATTATTTAAAGATGTACAAACATAAGATGTGTGGAGTTTATATTTTCTATAACATTTTTGGTTATCTGAAGAAAAAAACTTGCTTCTTACGAAAAAAAAATTATAAAAGTAATATAACCATAAAATAGACGTTTAGTGATGATAAGGTACATTTGTGTAAAAATATCGAATTCGTAAATTTAAACGTTTTCCATAATACGATACAAACAATTTATAAACGAGTGTCGATGGTTCATCAAACCCGGCTTGCGTATAGTCTGATCGACATTTTTGAATATATTTCGAATAATTTTATTTAAGTGCATTGTGTGTACATTTACATATTTAATTCGTTTAAATTTGCACTTTCTACACGAGTAGTTGTACACACTAAATGCGGGACGGGCACCATAACTCATATACAATTCCGCGAGTATCCTATTAAAATATTTAAACCGTTGACACGGAGGACTAGTCTACATTTCAGGTAACTTTCTATACCATGAACTACTTTTGTTTTATTTTGATATATATTTGTTTCTCATATTTTACAACCATTGTTGTTTTATTTACATTAACTTTAAAAATGGTTCGTAAAAATACCTATGCACTACATCTAATTTAATAAATATACAGAGTGGCTCATGTTTTTCCGACGGAAATGTCTTTGTACATTTTAATTTTTTCAAAATTTGTGTATTATAAAAATCTTTAAAATTGAAAAGATATTTCTACTTACTTGTGTCAAATAAGATCTATACTAAAAGTACACGTACAGAAACTCGTTTGGAATTAATATGTTTATATTTTTTATTATATAGATGTATAACATACATATATTTATATAATCAATACAGTAATAGTACATCCTGTTTTGTGTTCTTACAGAATCATGTCTAACTGCAAATTGACAATCTTTATCTTTGAACCTTGAAATTCAATAGGCAATGGAATGCCAAGCAATGCATGCTGTGATATTATATATGCCTATAACATTTTTTTCAATGTTATGATCACAACTTACAAAGAAAAATGCATAATATACATTGAATAAAAAAACAACAATGTATAGCTATTATGTTAAATTATTATTTATGCTTGTAAATGCTGAATGGCATTTTGTAATTTTTCTAAAATGTCTATGGCTAGTCAATAATTATATTTTTTTTTCACATAAATATTGTAATTATCAAATAATATATTTATGATTTTCTTATGTTATTGTTAATATTTTAATATTATAATGTATTAATATTATTAAATTTAAATATATTTAAGATATAACTAGAAATAAATTTATCTTATTTTAAATCTACAAAAAATTCGAGGTTAATAATAAAGTAAATTATTGAAATTGATATGAATTTTAATTGGATATTATCATAGAGTAGTACTACTCTATGGATATTATAAAAGATATTATGTATATAACATTCTTTACTCTATGGTATATAAGGATACTCAGGGTGATATACATCTATGTATAATTTTTAATTACTGATAAATAATAAGTTGAAATAACCAGTTAATTATTACTTAGATTTTTACTTCTATGGTTTATATGTTTCATAATAAATGAAATATATCCTTCTTTGATGAAAATTTAAGTTATTTTTAATTTAAATGCTGAAAAAAGTAATCAAAAAATCAAAGAATTACATTTGTTACACCTTGTTTATGACAACAACACTGTGAACATCGAGATAAATTAGTTAAGTATAGAATATAGAAAAATAAAACTGTAGAATTAGAATTTTTTGGAATTCTTATTTTTGTTCATTTATCTTATAACCATCTGGATACATGGAACATTAAATCTAGTCAATTATAAATTGTTATCAAATCCCACGGAACCATAAATATTTTAACTGAACAAATAAAAAAAAAACTAAAATAATGACAAATAGATCATTAAAATAATTTAAAAATATTTTCAGTAAGTTTTTATTTGTTTTTTTTATCAATTTTCTTAACTACCCATAAGTTAGCTTATAAAAACTGGTATAATTATTTTACAGTAATATTTGCAATCATTAGCAAGCAATTATATGTCTTAAAATTAGTTGATATTAAAAAGGTTATAGCAGTTAAATAATAATTATAATAATATTTAATATTAATGTCTATTATGTTCAATAATTTTAATACTATGATTAATTTTAACTCCACGATAAATCAAGAATTAATATATCATAAAAATAAACTTAACACCAACATTTTGTTAAATGTAAATCTTTATCATATTCTATTAAAAATATAAATAAATATATAAGATAGAGAAAAATACGTGTATAATAATAAAAAATAATATTTTAAGTGATTCACTTTAGACTGATTCTTGTAACATACGATAATTATACACTGAACCTCGTTCTAAAGTTAAACTACAAATAGGTTTCTTTGCAGTTGTTCCAGTTGTTGTATTATTAACATTAGGTGGTCGGCCATATCCACCACCACCAGGAGTTAATAACAAAAATGTATCCTGTAGTGCATACAACAATAAATATGAAAATAACTGCATAACAAATTAAACTATTGAAGAATTAAAAAAAATGTACACTACTTACACCCGGATTCATATCAACTGCAGTTTTAGCACCAAGTCTAATTTTTCTACCATCACTTTTTATTAATATATTTTCACCTTTTTGACCATTTTCCCCTCCTGAAAATGTAATAACATTTAAAAAAAAATTGAAGCACTCAATAATATCCTAAAATATAACTCTAATTATTAGTGTTGGCCAATGATATCAATATAGTTGATATTTTCTTAATAATTTCGATATCGATATCTATAAAATAATTATCAAAAATATCGCGATATCGGTGTGATTAATCGGGGCTCAGGATTTTACGAACGATTAAATTATTTTTATTTTATTATTTTATTTTTTATTTTATTTTCGGTATTTTTTAATTAAATTGAGTAAACAGTATAAAGTAAAATTATATTTATAAAAGTATAAAGTAGATACTAAATTATGATATGAGGCGATATGTTTCAAAGAAATAGGCTATTCCAAAATAAATTAGCTATTTCAAATAGCTCACCACATCAAACAATTTAATCTAAATTTAATCTAAATTCAGTGCCGGTTGTTAACTCGTGGTGAGACGTCGTAATTATTTTATTTTGTTCTTTATTTTATATATATATTAAATAAAATTAGTGAGAACTTTAAATTAGTACCGTTATCTGATGCTAGAAGTGATATATGGCAACATTTTGGATTTAAAGTTAATGAAAAGGGGATTATATCAAATAAAAATCAAGTTTTTTGTAAGAAGTGCAAATGTGCTGTTGGTTATAGTGGAAATACGACTTATCTCAAATTACATTTTCAGCAATGTTCAAGTACAAAACTAAGAACGTCAAACAGTTTGATTCCATATTTTAAGCAAACTCCATCCAAATTATCAAACAAAACTAAACTAAAGGTTTTCTTGAATTTATAGAAATAGCCGTACCTGAGTATATCGATCCTAGTAAACAAACAATAACTAGACTTGTTGAACAGACTGCAATAAACGAAAGAGAAAGTTTAAAATGTTTTTTACAAAATATTTCACATGTTTATATAACAATTGATTTTTGGACGTCACTGGCAAATCACAGTTATTTAGGTGTAATTTGTCATTATTTAGAAAAGTGATGTTTACGTACACACATTTTAGAAATAGTGGAAGTTCCTGAGTCCCACACTTCAATAAATATTGTCAACAATTTAAAATCTATTCTTAAATTTTGAAACATTAAAAATAAAGTTAATGCTGTTGTATGTGATAATGCTGCGAATATGGTCAAAACTATAAATTCCATGGATCAAACATATTTAGTTAGATGTACTGCTTACTCTATACAGTTATCTATAAATGCAGGGATCCAAAATGATATGGTAAAAGAATTAATTAATAAGCTGAGAAAAATAGTGGGACATTTTAATAGAAGTGCCCCTGCACAAAATGAACAAGAAAAGTGAGACGAAAAAAAACAAACTAGTTCAAGACAGCATTACTTGTTGGAACTCGATATGTGACATGATTGATAGTGTCTTAAAGTGTAAAAATTAAATTAATAATATTATAACTAAAAACAAAAAAATTGATAAATGATTTATTACTTCTGGTGAATTTAAAAATATGATGAAAGATTCATTGAAATTACTGGAATTATTTAAAATTGTCATAGAGGTATTAAGTGGAGAAAACTACATAACTGCGTCAATAGTACACAGATTGATAAAAAGTCTTTTAAATACGTTAAAAGTTAGTGAACTAGACACTAATTTTTTAACTATGGTTAAAAAACACAAATAAAATAGAATATTTACCAGAATTAATCTATTATGTTCAGAGCCTGATTTAGAATTTTTTAGTCTTTGTTCAAAAGGAAAAATGGTCCCATTATTAAAAATTGTAAATTAAATTACAATTGGTAAATGTAATAACAATAACCAGTCAAACTCAATGGTAAATTAAATAATATTTTAATGTAGGTATTACAAATTCTTCAACATTTTTATTTTTTTTCTGGCTTTTTGTTCTCCAAATGCATCAAAAACTTTCTCAAAATTAATATTTGCAATTATTTAATTTTTATGTATAAGATTCTCAACACATCAAATTTTTCGCGGTTCAGAGATGATCTTAATTTATTTTTAATTTGTTTTAGAAATTAAAATGACTTTTAACAAAACAATTAGTTACTTGTATTGGCAAAGACTTTTTACTAAAACAATTAGTTACTTGTATCATCAAAAATATATGCAAACATGTTTCTACATTTTGAAGCGTATGAAATTAGTCTTGAATTTAATAAATTCTTCTACAAAGTACTTAGTTTCAGTTTCCTACATTTTGTATATCAGCGAAAAATATAATTTATATTTAAGAATAATTTTTGATTGAGCATATTTTTTGGTATACTTAAAATTTAAAGATTGATTAAAATTAAAAATATTAAATCCTGTTAGGTCCAGTAGGCTCCTAATTCGCATGGGTCTTGAACAAACATGCATAATGTCCTCTTGTAAATAAGGCTCTGACTATATTCAAGTACTATAATTTTTTTTAAGATTTTTAAGAAGCAAAAATCTCTACTTTATACTAAAGAAAAAATAAAAAAATCAATCTGGAAAAAAAAAATCAAACCTGTATAAAATGCTATTAATATTCATTTGGTTTTACTGCATTCAAATATGAAGAACAGCCACACCATCAAACTTAAAAAAAAATTAAAATGTTTCAGCCAATCTCACTCTGTTTAATAAGGGATGTAATTTATGTCTCTAATCGTACTTTACACTCCGATCTTCGTATCAAAGGCGTGTTCAGTAATTTTTAATGGGGACCTATTTGAAATGGTTTTTATAATTTATAAAGGAATCAAAATAAAAATTGTTGAAAATAACGATGATTTTTCAACAAAAGTATCACATAAAGTAACTAAATAATAAATCAGTAATCAACTGTGAGATTACATTTTTAGTTAATAATTTTTTTTAATTAACTTTTAATACGCATAAGGCATTAAAATTTATCATTTTATAATACAAAATTTATAACAACAGAGAAAAATTATCTGGCTATCTGGCCAAGGAAATATTGTAATGTAAAGTAGATTTATTTTTTAGATGTGCTTAAAGAAACTACATGAAAACAGATTTGTCGACAGATGAAATAATTAATGAATTTGCCAAAAATTTAAGAAAATAAGATAAACGTAATATTTAGTGTAATATATCATTTTTATTACCACAGAAAATTTTGTTATATATATTTAATAACCCCTTCCTTTGATAAATTTCTGGCTACGCCAATGTATAGGAGAATATATTATACTTAATACTGGCAGGTGACTGCCTCATTCAATAGGTATAGTATATAATAAGAATTTTTAAATAATCTGGTAATTTTAGTCTAACATGTATATCATATGCATAGTATAAAGAATGAATACTATAGTATAGTATACATTATTATCATGGTTCTCATATTTTTGTTTAATACATGATTCTGTGTAAAAGTGGACATTTGTTCAATAATGCTATTGTTTCATTCAGTGTACTTCAGGGTGACTACCTATACTCTTTTTTGTTCATTACATTAATAAACTATTTATAACCATTTTAATAATAATTTATTATTATTTTTAATGCATTATATGTACCTTTGATTCCATTAGGTGAAAAAGATCGTCTTTCTGTTAATATCGATAAAGTCACTGGAGCTCTAAATTGTAATTCTCTAATAACTCCATTTCCTCCACAATATTCACCATTGCCGCCAGAGTTTTCACGTAATGTGAATGTGGTTAAAAACACAGGATAACGTTTTTCCAGTATTTCTGGATCTGTTATGCGAGTATTTGTCATATGAGTATGAACTCCACTACGACCAGTCCATGTTGAACCCTAATAATAAATTAATTTAAACTATTTCAAATTACATTTAAAATACTATAATCAATTAATTTAAAGACTTACCGCTCCCGCACCACCAGCAACAGTTTCATAATAGCCCCAATCATTTTGACCAAACGTAATATTGTTCATACACCCTTGACTATCAGCAGCAGCATTAAATGCTTTTAATACAACATCCACAATACGTTGTGAAGTCAATACATTACCACCAACTACAGCAGCATTTTCTGAAGGATCAAGAATAGTTCCAGAAGGAACAATTACTTTGATAGGTTTTAAGCAACCCTATTTAACCAAATAAATGTGCAACTAAGTAACTAATTTTTAAAAATATTAAACTATAAAATTACTTGATTCAATGGTATATCATAACCAATCATACTTCTCAAACAATATATTAATGCAGAAAGAGTAATGGCTTTTGGAGCATTACAATTTCCCCAAACTTCATAACTAGTTCCACTAGAAAAGAAAATATTTATAGAAAATTATTAAATTATAAAATATTTAGATAAAACAAAATGTTGTCATTTTGTTTTATCTAAAGTATTACCTAAAATCAAATATAGCTTCTCCATTTTCTACATTTATTTGAACTGACAGTTTTATAATAGAACCATCATCCAAATAATCAATTGATTGCAACGTTTTCAACCCACAAGCTAAGAGATTAGTGTTACCAATATCTTTCAACATGTCTCTTACTGCAAGTTCAGCATTATTTTGTATATGATTCATGTACGCTTGAACAACATCCAATCCATAAGAATTTATGAGTTCAGTTACCAAGTAAATACCCTAATTAATACAACACAATTATTAGGCCTATATTAACAATAACAAACAATAATCAAAATAATACTTTTTGATTTGCTGCAATTTGTGCTTTTAAATCTGATAAATTATCCTTAAGATTTCTGGTGCCCGATGATCCAGGCAAAGAAGCAGGAGCCATAAGTGCATCAGTGACTTCATTTTCACAGAATCGTCCACTACGGACTAAGAAGAAACTCTTAAACTGAGCTCCTTCTTCTAACAATGATTTTGAATGTGGTGGCATTGATCCTGGTGTTATACCTCCAATATCTGCATGGTGTCCTCGACTTGCAGCATAAAAAACTGGTTGTAACTGTCCACTTAATAAAATATGATTAAAATATAAAACAAAACAAGTAATTAAATTAAATTTTTGTAAACACTAACGGATAAAATACTGGCGTTATAACAGTTAGATCTGGCAAATGAGAACCTCCTGCTTTTGGATGATTGCTAAGAATTACATCTCCTTCTTTGATTTCATTTCCAACTGATTTGATCTAATAACAATAAGAATTAAATATACTTTCAAGGAAAAAAAGATTATTTAATAATTACTTGGTACTGAACAGCTTCTTGCATGGCACCTAAATGCACTGGAATATGAGGTGCATTTGATACTAATCCACCATCTGGACCAAATAACGCACAAGAAAAATCTAAACGTTCTTTAATATTAGTCGATATTGATGTTCTTTGAAGTATTCTAAAATACCAAATAAATATATAGATGATTGTCATTTGATTACAATAATAGTTGAAAAAAATACCTTCCCATTTGTTCAGCAATACTCATGAATCTATGTGAAAATATACTCAATTGTATTGGTTCAAGTTCAATACCAATTTTAGTAAACTGATCACATTTTATTTCAATTTCTTAAAAAAAAAAAACAAGATAGAGAAGTTATAATAAATAATTTTATAAATAAGTATTAAATGAAGACTTACCAATATCACCTGATTTACTAATAATAGCTTTACATTTAGGTTCAACTAAAATTGTACTAAGTTTATCCATTATAACTGCTGGCCCATCAACAACATGTCCTTTACATAACTTATCAAATAAGTAAATATTACAATCTACGTAACCAAAGTTTTCAAAATAAACTTTTTTAATCTAGAATTAAATACATATTTAAATAAATTAAAATTTAATAAATGTAATAAAAATAAATAACTTACAGATTCAATTAGTGGAAATTCTTGACTTTCAAGTCTTTCACTGTCAATGTTTAACAGTGTTTTACCTATACCTCTAACACGTATATCATCTACATATATTTTACGCCCAGATAGTACAAATCCAAATTCATTTTGGTACCTTGAATAACAACATTTTATTTAAAATTTAAATATATTAACAATCAAAGTAATAAAAAAAGTATTAATTTTTCTTATTTACTCACCTTGCAAGAAATCCACTCAAGAAATCTCCATGAACATATCTAGAATCAGTTAAATTATCATTGTTGGCAGAACACATAAGAGCGCAATCTGTACCATCATATCGTAAATGTAAAAATGGCTCGGTGTGTAATTGATTATCAGAGAATCCTTGTTTTTTAAGTTCATTAATACATTTTAAACTTAACATATTGATCCGCTCATTTAAATATGTCAAGTTTTCTATAAAAAATATAAGCTGAATCAAATAGATACATAAATAACCAGCTTGAAATGCCTTTGAAAAAAAATATACAAACAGAAAACAATTGGTAGAATAAAAAAATGTATTTACAAATAAAAGTATTTTATATATGTATTAATTGTATGAAAAAATAAAAATAAAATTACTTAGAATATTTGAAAATCTAAAATAATATTGAAAATTTATTGAAATTTTTTATATGTATAAGAAATGTATTAAAGTATTCTTTATTTACATTTTTTTTTAAATTTATACCTGAACAAAAAAATAATACATTAAACTAATAAAATATTTCAACAAAATCTATGCTTATTGAAAAGGTAAGAATTACTGACCATCATCATAGGTTAATGCGCAAGGTTCTTGAACTTCATGAACAACATCAGCACACGCCATACCAAAGGCAGATAAAATGCCAGCATATTTATGAATAACAACTCGACTAATTCCTAATGAACGTGCTATAGCACAAGCATGTTGTCCACCAGCTCCCCCAAAACATGCTAGCACATGTTGCCTAGTATCATATCCTTTTGCCTTTAAATATTTATTAAACAATAGTTAGTATTTAATACATAGAAAAAAAAAAAAAAATTAAATATTTTAAAATTCACCTGAGTTAAAGCTCTAATTGGGCGACACATAGATTCATTTGCTACTTTTATAAATCCCATAGCAACTTCTTCAACTGTCATTGGATTTGAACTTTCAGACTGCTTTTTTAAGAAGTTGTTAACCTAAAACCCAATTATATATGTTACATACTAAAAATTATTTTCTAAAGTATCATCATATATATACTTCAGTAGTTAGAGCTTCAAATTCTACTAAAGCAGCTTCTTTGTTTAATGGCATATTTTCAGTTGGACCAAATATTGACGGGAAATACTCAGGTAATAGTCTACCAAGAACTAGATTAGCATCTGTAACAGTTAATGGACCTCCTTTTCTATAGCATGTTGGTCCAGGATGAGCCCCAGCACTTTCAGGCCCCACAACAAATAAACCAGATCTAAAGAACAATCTACTGCCACCACCAGCTGCTACAGTATTTATATCCAACTAAACAAAAGAATACATTATATTTTAAATACCTTTAAGTAATTATTAATGTTTGGCTAACAATTTATTTACTTGTGGAGCTTGAATTGTAACACCTGCAGTTATTGATTCAAAAACATGTTCAAATGCTCCATCATAGCGACTAACATCAGTTGATGTGCCACCCATGTCAAAGCCAATAACAGGTTTATAAGGAGTTGTTACTGTATAGCCAACTACGCCACCAGCTGGACCAGATAAGATAGCTCTTGAACCATTAAAACTAAATAATAGTTTAAAAAATATTAATTTCCAATGTAAAAATAGGACATAAGACACTAATTAAACAATAATTTGCTATACCTGTTCATTGGTGTCAATCCACCATCACTTTGCATAAATAATATATTGACGTCCTTTAAATTATTTTTAAAACCTGAAGCAAATCCCTATATACAGCAAAATGGTAATTTTATTTATTTATAATCGATAAAAAATACAAATATCTAATTAAATATCTTACTTCAACATATTTTTTTATATGAGGAGTTAAATAAGCATCTGCACAAGCTGTATATCCTCGTGGTACAATTTTTACCATGGGCATTACTTCATGGGATAAAGACACATGTTTAAAACCAACATCTTTAGCTATTCTTCCTACAGTAAGTTCATGTTCAATATAACTATACAAACAAAATAAATATAATAAAAATGAAATATTATTTATAATTTTAACAATTAATGTATATTTTAATTTATCAATTAATAAATATTTTTATATAAATATTACTGTACTCCTACCCCTTAGGGTATTTATTATTTATGATTTTTATAACAATAAATAAACTATTATTATTATTATTATCAAATAAAATCTTAATAATATTTTTCAAATAAAAAGTATTTATAATTATAGAATTATTGGAGTTATATTATTTATAAATTTTAAATATTACATTATTTGTATAGATTGTTTATTTCTAATAAAAAAATTAAAAAAAAAAAATTTAAATATTATCATAATATTTTAATAATAATTACGTGTAAGAATGCATTAGAGCTACAGCAATACTGTTGATTCCTTTGGATTTTAATAAAAGAAGATCGTTTTTTAGTACAGCTTCATTTATTTCTTTTATGATTAAAATGTCTTCACCAGTGACACCACGAACTATAGGTTTGTCTTTCCAAATGGATGTAATTTCATCGCATTTTTCACATTTTAAATTAATTACTCTACAGTCGACTTCCATAACTTCTTCATACAGAACATCTGGTGTTACTATTTTCTAATAATAATTATAAATTTAATGTATTGTTAGTTAAGATTGAATTTATAATTTTAAAATCTTTACCAAATCAAATATCTTTGGTCGAGCCTGGTTACCAATATGTAATAGATCTTTGAAACCACGAGTAATCAATAAAGCCATGCGTTCACCTTTGCGTTCTAAAAGAGCATTTGTAGCAACAGTTGTTCCCATTCGAATCCACTCAATGTAACTGCTATCAATAGCTTCACTTTGTGGCATACTTATTCCAGTTTCCTAAAAAAGACAAGAAATTGTTTTCATAGTATTATCCCTTTATTATATATGATGCTTACCATTTCTAGTATTCGTCTTATGCCTTCGCGAGGAGCATCTGAATAATTGGTCGGATCAACAGATAAAAGTTTCATAACACGTACTTTTCCATTAGGACATTTAGCATAGATGTCTGTAAATGTACCTCCACGATCAATAGCAAATTTAAATTTTCCTCCCATTGTACAATGTTAAAATTTGCTAGAACTAATAATTAATTAATTTAAAATTAGTATTTTATTTTGTGTTAAAATAAAATCTTATAGTTTCAATAAAAAAACAAAAAATAACATTGTAGTCATAAATTAAAAATGTTAACAACTGAGATACAAAATTAATTTAAAGTAATTTAAGTTAAAAAAACAAAAAAAAAACATTTTTATCTTTGATTTAGAAAATTCTGAGTTATTGTTACTTTACTGTACAACATACTTTCCAAAAATTGTTATTGTAATGTTTTAAAAACATAAATATTTAATACATCACAATATATAGTACCTACTTATTGGCTACTATATAAATGTATTATTGTCGAATGAAATGTTTTTTTAATATTACAATAAATTGTGTACAAAGTGTACAAAAAATATTGAACCTATTAAGTTTAAATAGATAGCTTTTATATCTTTACATGTACTTGAGATAAGTTGAGGAGTCAAAGAATAAAAACCTAAATTAAAGGAAATATTTATATTGCCAATTGTGTAGTAAGTAAAATAAATGTCAAAATTAAAAACTGATCATAAATTAATAATTATACTCACTGTTAAAGTTGGAAAAAAAATCAAGAAACTATCAAATATTATTCCTTGTTATGTCAGAAAATAACAAATAAAAAAATGAATTTGACATACAGATGAGTGATTAGCGAACAACATGCTACAATCATCGAAACACGTAGTTCTGTGGAATTATATTATTGTATCTTATCTTTGGGTCAAGAGTTTTGCGTTTACAGTAAATATGCATGTTAATATGAAATCAAATAGTACTAAGAAAATGTATTTTGAACAACCATACGCAGTTACCTCGTTTTTTTAATTACATTACATATTTATCACAAACAGTGATATAAATATTTGTTTCTAGTTCTCGATAACAGCTGACCTGAGCGGGTCTGACTATTCTCAGTCGATTAAAGCAACACGCTATCATTTTGTTGTTATCACTCTATGCCAATATAGTAAGAAATATATGTTAAACATTAGCAGTTCGTTGTAAATATTCTGGGGACTTAAATTGTTAAATATAAACTCCATACAACAACGAACAAGAAAAACCTTTTTGTTGGAAAAATAGTATTTCCATAGAAATAACTATTTATGGATTCTAGATTTTGTGGCCTTCAATTTATAATACAGAAATCAATATAATATATTTTCAATTCAAATAAAAATATTTCTATACATTTTTATTTTTAAATAGTTATTATTTACAAGTAGCTGTTTTTTTTTAGGGGAGACATAGTCTCAAAAACTTTCTGACGAGCCTCCCCAGATGTTAAGATGTTTATTGTAAAAACTTATTAGTAGTGCTATTTCATTTGTATCATTGTCTTTGGATTTTCGATGAGGTCCATTTACACATTCATAATAAACATGTTCTTTAATTAAAAACAGACAGCCCATAAATTGAATTGGCAATTCTCCATGTTCAAGTGAAAACCTGTATTTATAATTTTCTCCTGTCGACGTATTTTATTGTTAATATTTCATGTTTTTTAAATAATTTCAACCGTTATTCACAAATATATATACATATTTTATTTATTACCTTCATGTTTTATTGATTTAGCTACAATAAACCAAAACCTAATTCCAATAAATTTGCTGAAAATAATTTAAAATTGTTTGTTTCCCCTTGAATAAAAGTTGTTTTAACTATGAATGCTTTTTCTAAAACTTTTTCAAGAAAAATACCTAGTGTTGTCAATTTTAATTAATAATTAAAAAATCTTAGCTTATATATGTTATATATGTGTGAATATTAATAATAAATCATCCCATTCATGGGGAACATGGTAAGAGCCTGCTCGTGGCGTCCCTTGCATCGCGATCTTGAGTCTACACCAGGACATATATCGCGAACTTATCTTACCAACACCGGTGCTAGAATGCCTAGGAGTTCAAACTCAAAACGGCCCTTTTCAGGGCCACCCCCACCAGCATTTAATGGGAATACACAAAACATAGAAGGTTTCTAAGTAATCAAAGGTGAAATTCTTGCAAACTTTTATGAAAAAGAGAAATGCGACGTGTTATGTGTTCAAGAGACGCATCGGGATGAGATTAGTCCTCGTCCAAAAATACCGGGAATGAACCTAGTCATCGAGTTACCACATCCAAAATACGGAAGCGCAATATACTCTAAACCAGGACTCGTGGTTAAAAGCGCAGCCACTAGCCACAACAAACAAATCGAAATACTAACTAATGAGGTAGGAAACTGTACAATTACTTCAGTGTATAAACCGCCGAGCACAGACTTCACTTTCAAAAAAACCGATCAACATCAACAACTGAGATACAAAAATAGTTCTTGGTGATTTCAACAGCCATAGTACCACATGGAGATACCTAGAAAACGACCAAAATGGAGAAATATACAAATGATCAGAGCCGGCTCAAGGTGTAGGCGAGCTAGGCACTTGCCTAGAGCAGCACTTTAGTAGGGGCGACATTTTCAAAATTAACTCGTACATTTTTTCTAATTCTATCGGTGTTTTATAAGAAAAAAATTTTAATTAATTCATTCGTGAAAACCACTTATCTAAATAGTAAAATAATATTGTATAAAGTTATTATATTATTTTATATTACGGCTTACGCTAGGCGTTCTCAATTATTCAAAAAAATATAAATAACCGTACAATCACTTAAGCGATTTCCGATAGAAAATAGGTGGAGGGGTTAAGTTAAAATAAGAGCTCAATTTTTTTTAGAGGCGGCGAAATTTGATTTTTCCTAGTGCAATATTTTTGCTCGGGCCGGCCCTGCAAACGATAATTACTTATAAGACGGTTTGGAAAAATGTAATATATATTTGATTAAAATCGTAATTTAACAGATATTATCCGACGATGAGGTAGCGACGTAGGAAAGAAACTGCCGTGATTGAGTGAACAGTTTACAGAAATGCGAGGAACACGGACCCAAGGACATTGTACGCGTTAATATAATAATATTATTCTTACATCCATATCGCTTATGTCGATTTTATTTCATTTGATTTTGGGTCTATTACACAAGCGTATGTAATTTTCATAGTTTTTCAACAGACTTCTAACGTTTTTCGATACGACGATATCAGAGGCGGATCCAGGATTTTTTTATGGGGGGGGGGGTTGAAAATTGTTTTCTTTGGCACTTGGGATATTATTTATAATATTGCGGTTAGTGACTGATCAAGGGTTTTTACTTTTTAATGCAGTAGTGCACATTCGTCTTTTGGCAATGTTTTCAAAATTTTACGTATAATGGCAATCTTGCCCGTTTCAATAGCTACGCCTGAACGAAGTTTCTCATGTTTAAAAAGAATTAAAACCTATCTGCGAAATACAACAGGCCAAGAAAGGCTCAATGGTATAGCTTCTATGAATATTCATAAAGATATTAATGTATCAGTTGATTAGGTTTTTGAAGAATTTTTCAAAAAAACAAGAAAAATTTAATTCAAAACTTTTAATTTTGTTGAAAAATTTTATTTAAGTGTATGAAATAATTTAATTAAGATAATAGTCAGCAGTATAATAAATTTATTTAAATCTAAGACAAATTACTTCTTGTACGAATAAAAAAAAAATTTATATACTTTTCTTTATACTTAAAAAAAAAAAAATCTTTTTCTTCATTCATAAAATTATTGATTTTTAATATATATTTTTCGTGATGTTGGGGGGGGTTAACCCCCAAAACCCCTCCCGTGGATCCGCCACTGGACGATGTATTGTGTAAATAATTTATACGCACATCGTGTACGAATATGATGAAAAATGTGTACAAAAAAAATATATAGAATATGTACCTATATATATATAAAAAAAATACATTTTGCTTTTCAATTTTGAATTAGATTTGTTTCGATTCCGACATTGTTTCTTTCTTAATCATCTCCATGACCAGCGAAGAAAAAGAAGACGCTTTGTGGCAACCGTTATGAATATTATATTAAAAATTTCTATAGTACAGTGGAATAATATGATATTACTCGAATTATATTAACATTGTTCTTTAAATGTAGATTTGTCCAAAAAGTATATACGGCTAAATACTTATCGATAAATTACGGAATTTTTTCCATGTCTGGATTTACTAATTTTTTTTATTTTTTACCATAAGAATGTTTGAAAAAGTGCATTAATTTTTTTCTTTTAATTTAATTTTTTCTTTCTTTTATAGTAACCATGTTTCCAGAATTTCACGACTGCGGATATTGTCGAGTACAAATCAGCTTGGACTAACATTCCTGTTAGTACATGTTGTGATCATTGCGTACTTAAGTTTTGATAAACCACAGCCCATTCCTTACAATGGTAAGAGTAGTGTATTACTTACATCAATGACCAACCCATCACAGAAGGATCAAGGCACTTTCTATACGCAGACGACTTGGCCATAGTAGCACAGAACATAACATACCAAGAAGTCGAACGTAAGCTTACAAAAACTCTCCAAGAGTTAACAACGTAATATGCGAGAAACCAGTTAACACCAAACTCGGATAAGACACAAATATGCTGCTTCTACCTCCCAAATTGTGAGGCAAAAAGAGAGCTCAAAGTTAAGTGGCTTGGAAAAACATTGAAAAACACAGAAGAGCTAATCAATCTAGGGGTTACACTGGACAGAACTCTCACGTTAAAGGAGCAATGTAGAAAAACAAAAATGAAAGTCCAAACAAGGAATAATTTATTACGAAAACTAGCTGGCAGCAAATGGGGTGCCATGCCAAATAAAATTCGAACTACAGGACTGGCATTATGTTTTTCCACTGGAGAGTAGGCCTGCCCAGGGTGGAACCAGTGGAAACATGCTAAATACGTTGATACTGCACTAAATGAAACTTGAAGGTTGATAACTGGATGTCTCAAAGCGACACCAGTTAAATATATCTACCCTTTAGAGGGGATCATAGGCATGTCTAAGGGGGAGGCAGGGTGGGCACCGGCCTCCCCAGCGACGTTCTTGGCCTTTTGGCTTATAATGGTGAAACCACGAATATATAGTATCTATATTCCTGGCTGAAACAGAAACAGTAGGTAATTTTAGGTAGAAAGTGAATTTAAATTTTAAATTTATTGAATTTTATTATTTGTAATATTTTAATAAATTAATTGTTTAACCAAACTGATAAATAACTGTTTATTTTGTAATAACTGTAATAAGATGTGTATAGAAGGTTGATGTATAGTTGATAAAATATTTATAAAAAATAAATAAGTAACACATTAGTTAATAGGCCTTATTTATTAGTTCATAGTTGTAATAGCATAGGAAACCAATTTTAAGATAAAGAAAATCTTTAATTTGACGGGGTGAAAAATTCCAGGTGCTATATAATTTCCATATTACAAAAATAAGTCATAAATATAGATATAGATTATAGATCGCTGTAGTAAGTGAAAAATTTAAACTTTATAACTGGCTTCCCTAGCCATGGAGGTCTGGACATGTCTATGGCGGGGATTGATCCGCCAGAAATACGGAGATACGCGGCCACATGTATTGAAAGAACAAAACAAATTACCGACCAAAGGAATCCTATGTATGGTTATTTAGAACCCCAAAGGAGACTTAAATTAAGAAGAAGTTTTATTGCTAAAACAAATATGATCCAGGACCCCCCCGACCAGACCCGATTACGTAAATGGAAAGAAGAACTATGAGCTGAAATACCTGTGCCACCTGATGAACGACTTCCCCCAGGCGGAAACCAATTATGGCCCATATGGAAAACAATAAATAGGCTAAGAGCCGGAGTAGCTAAGACAAGAGTCAATATGGTGAAATGGAGATACCAAGAAGGACCTGACATTAGTGAATGCGGCGAAAA